TCAATCTGTCTCCTCACTTCCTCGTGTGGGTATCGCAGTTTACAGAATGCTTGTTGAAGGTCTTGTAGGTGTAGGTCTCTGTCTGAGGGGTTGGAGCATATGCGGTTGTACCTCAGTGCTTGGCTGTAAACAATGGATCGTGTGGTGTGTCCGGGATGGAAACTGGAGGCATGCAGGTAAGTATAGCGGTCGGTAGGTTTTCTGTATAGGGTGGTATTGATATGACCGTCACTTATTTGTATCGTGGTGTCCAGGAAATGGACCTCCCGTGTAGATTGGTCCATGCTGAGGTTGATGGTGGGGTGGAAGCTGTTGAAATCATGGTGAAATTCTTCCAGAGTCTCCTTCCCATGGGTCCAGATGATGAAGATGTCATCGATGTAGCGTAGGTAGAGAAGGGGTGTAAGAGGACGAGAGGTGTAAGAGGAAGCATTCTGTAAACTGCGATACCCACACGAGGAAGTGAGGAGACAGATTGACAGAGCCAGACGTGTACCCAGAAGCCTCCTGCTACGGGACAAGCCCAAGAAAGAAACCAACAGAACACCACTGGCCATCACCTACAGTCCTCAGCTAAAACCTCTCCAACACATCATTAGTGATCTACAACCCATCCTGGACGATGATCCCTTGCTTTCACAGGCCTTGGGAGGTAGGCTGGTCCTTGCCCACAGACAACCCGCCAACCTGAAGCATATTCTCACCAGCAACTACACACCGCAGCATAACAACTCTAACTGAGGAACCAATCCATGCAACAAACCTCGGTCTCAACTCTGCCCACATATATACACCAGCAACACCATCACAGGACCTAACCAGATCAGCCATACTGTCACTGGTACATTCTCCTGCACATCTACCAACGTAATATATGCCATCATGTGCCAACAATGCCCCATTGCTATATACATCTGCCAAACTGGACAGTCCCTACGTAAAAGAATCAATGGACACAAATCAGATATTAGGAATAGCAACATACAAAAACCTGTAGGGGAACACTTCAAACTTCCTGGACGCACAATTGCAGATCTAAAGGTAGCCAACCTGCAGCAAAAAAACTTCAGGACCAGACTTCAAAGAAACTGCTGAGCTACAGTTCATCTTTAAGTTTGACACAATCAGCTCTGGATTAAACAAAGACTGTGAATGGCTTGCTAACTACAAAAGCAGCTTCTGCTCTCTTGGGATTCACACCTCCAGATCAGCTGCTAGAAGTGGGCCTCATCCTCCTTGATTGGATCCCCCTCCTCATCTCCAGCCTGATTCTGGCCTGCATATTTATCCCTGCCTCTGGAAATTTCCACTACATGCATCTGACGAAGTGGGTCTTTGCCCACAAAAGCTTATGCTCCTACACTTCAGTTAGTCTCTAAGGTGCCACAGGATTCCTTGCCTTTTTTAAAAGAGAAGGTTCATCTAAACAGCGTATCGGTACTGTAACATAGGCATATTTTACCCATTCCTTTTAACATTTCATTTGCAATGCTCTAAAAAGAGACTTTAACAATTTATGAATTTTAAAACTTAAAAAAAAAGTAAGATGTCACTAAATGAGAGATGGCATTTGATCTCTATTGTATCTAACTGTCGATTAAACATTTCAGTTTACTTTGCTTTATTTTTTTCCCATCTGATTTGAAACTCAATCTTTTTAAAGTGAAATGCTGTGAACTATCAAGGCTCAGACAACATAAATGTCTGACTCTCCAAAAATAAAAGGGGGGAGGGAAGGCCTTACTTGAGATTTATACACAAGAAAGATGATCAGGAACAATGGGAGACAGCAGACTGTAACAAAGGATGAAAAATGTCTTTCCTGATTTTTTTCTGTGAGCAGCTTCTCTCTGAATTCATTATTCCTGAGCTAGTGCCCCCCACCTGTAGAATTCAGAGGTGGTCCAATGTTGTTAAGTGGAGGCTCCAGGACTGGGCTCCACCTTTCAGCTCAGACGTATAGCTGTAGAACTTTATTAGCATTAAGGCAACTTGATATAATGTATCACACTAAGCATAAGACCGTATATGTTTAAGGATTAATGAGGGAACCAACCTCGGAGCACCTTAATATCAAATCATGCCTTTGCAGTGGAATGGAAAGAATGAAATGAAGAGCATACAGTTGGTATATGTAGACAATATACTTGAGATATATCTTTAGAGTGCTAGGAATACCCGTTTGTGTCACAATGTTCCAGAGTTAGAACAAAACGATCGGATAACTATTTTCCAGAAACTGGAAAGAAAAAACACTTACTTTGAACAGGAAGATTTCTGAAACAATAATATTTTCCTCATGACAACAGCAGTGAAATTCTTGTACAAATATGGGAACTAATTTGCTTTAAAGGAAATTAAACTAAAAAGGTTGCCCACATGCCTGTCTAATCTGTCACTGTGATTAAAGTGGGCACATGATACTCAAAATGGAGGATCCAACATCACTGTCTACAAGATGCTGGTACAGCTGCTTCTAGGGATGTAAGCAACTACTTGGCTAGTCACTTCCCCCCACTTGCTGCCTCTATCAGAGGCAGTGGTGGGAGGGGGGATGAAAGCAGGAGCCAATGCTGCGGGGAGCCAGCTTGCCCCAGCACCGTCTCTGCGGGGGGCAGGAGGGAAGCAGGGACTGGTAGCAGGGACCGAGCACTGATTCCCAGCTCATGCCCAGACCCAGATGCTACACCTCTGCTTTTTAAATGTAGCTCTTAATACATTTAAAAATCAGAAACACAGTTTGTTAAAATAGCACTTAATATATTTAAAAGGGGACCAGGAGCAAGGCAAGACAGCTGATTCCCGGCTCATGCTGGGTCTCCTTACTGCGCTCCAGCCTTTTTACATTTAAGGCTGGTGTGCAGCGTGGGGGACCTGGCGCAAGCCCGGAATCAGCTGTCCCAGCTCGCGCCAGGTCTCCCCCCCTCTCTCTCCCCCATGCTTCTAATTTTCAAGAGTATTAAGACCCAGCAGGCACCTAATACATTTAAAAAGCAGAGATGCAGCATCTGGGACTGGGCATTTAAAAGGCTCAAGCATAGCAGGGGACCCAGCTCAAGCTGGGAATCAGCTATCCGAGCTCATGCCAGGTCCCTGCCACTGAGCTTCAGCCTTTTAAATGTATTAAGAGCAGTGGTGGGGACCCGGCGCTGGCCAGAAATCAGCTGGCCCAGCTTTCAGTAGGTCCTCCCTACTGCTTCAGCCTGTTAAATGTACAGCTCTTAATACATTTAAAAGGCAGAGCCACAGCAGGGTTAGCTCCCGGGGCTGGGAGCTAACCCAGCCGCAGCTCCCCCACTTATCAACTAGTTGATGAGAAATTCATTTACTAGTCAATTAGCTGATTAAACTAAATTTAACATCCCTAGCTGGTACCAAGTTTCTAAAGTGCTGGGTATAATTACAGCCAGATATGGAACCCAATTCTCAGCACTTGGATCAAAGGCTCCTCTCAATTTCCAAGAACTGATGGCTGCAAATCCTTTCCAACACCTGTCCATTTCTGAATGGATCTGTTTCTCTGGACAGGGTACTGATTAGCATGTTGTCTAGGCAAGGGAAAAGGCGCATAAGGTGCAATCTGCCTTGCTTTGACTATTACCAGCATTTAGGAAGGTGCACAGGGCAGATCAAAAGGAAGAGTTTTGTACAGGAATTTGAGCTTGTGTATGCAAATGCTCTTTGCCTTTGTCCCACTGACGATTTTGTTGGTCTGGAAGAAAAAGTATTTAGTTTTCCTTGGAAGCTTTTTGCTCTAGGTTTTTCCCTGTGCCAGAATAATAATCCCTTCTTAGATACCCTTGATGTTGGTAGCAACCAATGATGTTGGTTGCCATGCTGGCTTCGATGATGAGGGCTGACATCTCTATGCTATCTCAGCAGGTAATTTTTCTAATCCATCTCCCAATAGCTCCTCACCTGAAAGTTTGTGTTTACAAGATGTCTGTTTAGGACCAGCGATGCTATTCAGGGAACCGCCAAATCAGAATCTATTGCTTGTCATAAATCACATCAAAGACACAGATTTTCACCTCAGTTGTTCATTAACAATATTAAATTACTGTCTGGTAAAGACAACACTTGCTTTTGCCTTTCTGAGAGCCTCTGAGTTCTGCAAGACTTAACCCTGAGTATAATGAAAATTCCTTTTCGCATCCCCCATCTCCCAGCTCATACAGGGGAGGATGTAGAGGATGCCCTGCTTCTTTCCTGGGGGACTCACTTCAGTATCTTGGGGTGGGAGTGGCTGACTCTGGATCCTTCAGTGTTACCCGTCCTCCCCAGCCTAGATCTACTGAGGGATTTACCCCCTGTGCTGACCAGATAGCTTCTGCCTCTTCCTGAGACCCTCTCCACAAAAGCTCCGAAGCTCCTGCTCAGGCTTTTCTGCACTGAAAGTCACAGCTCCTCAGTAGGTCTGCTAACATGACAGTCTGACTCTGAGCCTCGTGCCCTTCAAGTGCAAATTTCGGCAGGCCTGAGGCAAGGCATCGTCCACCCCCTCTAGAGCCTGTGAGGTGCCGTCTCTTGTAAGGAGCACTGACTGGATTCAGCCAGCTGTTTGCAACACACTTTGCTATGCCTGAGTGGGAGCAGAGGGGCCTGGCAGGGAGGCGTTACAGCAGCAGATCCAGGCGACTGAAACTATCTTGCTGCTACCAACCCAGTTCTGGAAGAGTGTAGTTCCCAACTGCACAAAAATGAATAGAACAAACAAAACCAAATGGCCAAGAGAGCAACCCAACGGCCAACTTGTTCCACCGCCGGAGGCGGAAGATGTGGTGGCTGCCTGAGCTGGAGCCAGCGGTGGAGCCTTGTCCAGGAGCCTCCAGCAACAACATTGGACTAACTCTGAATTCCACAGGTGGGGGGCAGAAGCCCATGAGTAATGAATGAGGTGAGTAGCTGTGCAACAGAAAGCTGGCCTGAAACACAAAACATTTGTATTATCTGAAGCCATTTGGTATCCAAAGAAGAAAAATTAAAAATCAATGGCTTACCTTCACTGCCAAGAAGTTGAGGCCACTTTCATTAGCCAAAGCTTTCGCTATCATTGTTTTTGAGCATCCCGGAGGTCCATAAAGCAGTACTCCTTTGGGTGGCTGAATACCCATGCGGATGAAAGATTCAGGATGCTTGAGGGGCCATTCCACTGCCTGCTTCAATTTCAATTTGACAGTTTCCAGTCCTCCTATGTCTGACCAGAGCACCTACAAAGCAGAACATTTTGCTGAATCCATACACTGACACAGAATGGAGGATTGTATCAAGCTATGGCACCCGTTTCTTTTTCAACAGGTTTATGTCATGACGCTTTTAAAAAGTGCATTAATTATTAAAGGATTTTAAATTAAAACAAGCAGCTGATAAATTATAAGTAAAGAAAAAAACGGAAAAATGGTGAATTTACATAATTATGGATTTACATAATGGGGGAAATAAAATTTCATACATTGAGCATCCACTGCAAAGATCATTAACTGCTGTTATCAAAAAATTCAACACGGTGTTTATACCCATAAAGTCTGTAAACTCCAAGGGATCATTCCCATCATTACAATTCCTCTGTGTGTGGCATTCATATATCATTTTTTAAATACTTTGATCTCCGTCTAAGGGAAAATTCTGTATCAATTTAAGAGAGAATTATTTTCATCTACTGCAATAAAGAAACTTACCTAATATGCAAGTAGTCCCTTTGAGTTATATGGGACTATTAACATGCATAAGTGTTTGAAAGACTGAAATGGTTTAAATCACTTTGCAACACTATTTGTTCCATCCTGGACTTGCACACTACAGATTTAATTAGGATTTTAAAAATACTGGATGAGTATTTATATCTTAAAGACTAAAATGTAACAAGTAACCGCAGTTGGGAGTTGTTCTGCTAAAGAGACACTAACAAATGCATACAGGCTGTCCTGGCTGTAAGTCCAAGATATGTTCCAAGAAACTTGGACGTACAGCAAAACAACTTAAAGCGGGGAATTTTTTTTCCTGAGGATGACTTCCATTTGCGCAAATTGGTGGGAGGTTTTTGTGCAACTTAAGAGCAGGGAACGGGAGGACTTATAATTCATCAGTTCCTACAAGCGTTAATGACTTTAGTGTGGAACGGATGTATACTGAGCGACTTTTAGTGGGGACGCTCTATACCACTAATATAATATAGCCTATTCAAAATGATGAGTTAATCTAAAATGAGCTCTCCCTTTTCTTACAGAGTTGTGAAGAAAACTGTGATAATTTTCCCTACCCCATATAATTCCCTGTATTTTCTAAGTTGGGAGTAGGTAGTCTGTATTACACCCCTCTCGTGACAGCATCCATTATATTCTTCTTTAGATATTAAAGACATCAAGCTTCCATAGTAGAAGGTGGTTGAATCAGCTGAACTTGTGTTCTGAGAGAGTGGTCTCTTAAAATTGGTACTCTTCAAAGACAGGCAATAGATTAAATGACTATAAAGTCAGGACTCTCCTCTTGTGATTCACCCATGCTTTGACAGAGGCAGACACAAGAAGGGAGAAGAAGGAAGAATAAGGATTGGAGGTTAAAGAGGTGCCTGTGATAGGGGAGATGGATGGAAGGAGATTAATTCATGGCAGGTGGGGGGGGAGGGAGAAGGAATCAAAAACCTAAACTTTATCACCCTTATTCCTGATCTAGACAACTTTCTCCCTGCCAGGCTACTCCAATCAGGTGATCTCGCTCAATTGCATTGCCTTCTTGGTGCTATTTGTCTGTTATCTGAACACTGGAAACTAAAAATATGATTTTACTTCTGGGTAAAGCAATGCTGCCTGAGAACAAGCATCAGCAAACCTAGAACAAAGGAGCAAATGAGTGAACTCTAACCGAATAAAAAACATCTGTTTGACTGTCTTATGACAAAATAGTGCAGTTCCTTTAAAAAAAAAACACACATGTCTACCTGCATCGGGCATCCACTAAAAAGAGAGAAGAATTCAAAATGCTAATAGAAAGTAAGGAGTTGATGACCTGCTGCCCTCAGAGTAGACAGGCCCTCGTGCTAGGAACAACCAAGAGAAAATATTAGCGAAGCACTGAAAAAAAATATTATTTTTAATCAACAGCTTCTACTTTCTGAATAAAAAACAACTGTGGTTGAGTAAGGAAGCATAAAAATACACACAGCTGACAGCACTTCAGAAAAGTACAGATGCACTAGCTAAAGGGGGAATAAAAGTTAAGAGAAATATCAAAGCAGAGAAAAGAGAGGATTTCTGTTTCTGACTCGAAGCAATCGAGTAGTTGAGGAATGAGTGGCTAGGGCTTATGTACTGCCAAAGCAAGGTGCCAATTTTGCTAACTTGCCATACCTCAAATTCTGCTACCTGCCAATGCTAATACGCATTTCCAATGTGCTGTTTCAGAAAAGAGCATTTTTGATTTTGTTCCATCATACAAATAGGCCTGAAAGAACAAACATTAGCTAAATAGTAGTAAATGGGCTTGCACAGCTACACATAGTTGTGCATTTGTTTCTTATTTTGGGGAAAAAAACTAAGTTACTGAAGACACTGAATGAAGCAGAAAATAGTAATTTAAGAAACTGCATGACACTTAATTCCTCAAAGTAAGAGGTAGACAAATTTACAGAGTTTTAATTAGAATGAAGCACAGACACATTCTTAAGACCATGTTTTAATAGGTCTTAACTTTAACAGAAATAAAAAAGAAAATATTTACAGTTGTGCATGTTTTTAGTAGCTGGACAAGACAACACTTTCTATAGCTTTTTAACACTGCTGGAAAACAATTTTATTAAAAGCCATTATACATTACATGAAACAAAATTTCAAAAATTCCAAATTATCTTGATAACGGAACAGGAACAGCAGCATACTTTTCC